TACCAGCATGAGACAGATGTGATTTCTGCCCTTAATAATGTAAGTTTGGTCTTATTTGTGACCTTTCTATTTGGTCTCCTGAGTGAAGTGATACTCTGAGTAGTTTTAAATATCATTGGATGATTAATATGCTTATTAGCATTAAGCAAAAAGATTTTACATGAAACCGTTAAATGAAAAGCATTGATTTTATTGCGGTTTAGGATCCAAAGAAGCACTACTGAGCTCAGTGAGCAGTTTCTACTGTTAGAACATAGTCAATGATTTTCCTTTTTCAGGATTTTGAAATAACTTCCTTTGGGGGGCACATAAAAGCACATAGTTCTTGTATTAACATAGTTAACATAGTTCTGTTATTAGTTGGACTAAGTTTTCAGGCCAAAATTCTAGGACTTGGTGACTTACATTTTGAGCATTAGTATGTGGTTAACAGTATACGTTAAGTCTGTAACTATGTAGCTCTGAGTACGTTTCTGAAATGCTTTAACCACATATATAGTGCATATATTAATATACATTCATATCTAATCAGATAATTAATAGTTTTGGTTAATGATGACTTTTTACCTCATATTGATTTTTACCTTCCAGATATTGTGATTGCTTTGCAAATGGTGAATTTTGCAACAACTGCAATTGTACTAATTGTTATAACAATTTGGAACATGAAAATGAAAGGCAAAAAGCAATAAAGGTGATTATTTTTTATTTCATTTAACTGATAAAAATCTTGTTTCACCCGTTTTTCAAATAACTCAATTGTCTCACAAAGAACAATACTAATTCCTTTTGCAGTTGAGGTTTTAATCTACTGCGATGTGACTTTAATTGATACTTGATCTGTTTCGGTAGGCATGCCTCGACAGAAATCCAGAAGCCTTTAAGCCTAAGATAGGCAAAGGAAAGGAGGGGGAATCAGACCGACGTCACAGCAAAGGGTGTAACTGCAAACGATCGGGATGTCTCAAAAACTACTGTGAATGCTACGAGGTGAGATGCTGACTGGGGAAAATAATCTAACCATCTTTTGAAAACCGTTTTAGAAAGGAAGTACCACAAAAACTTTCTTGAAAATTGCCGTCGCCGTTTGAAAATGGTTTGAGGAAGGCGTCAAGCAGGGCTTCGGAGCAATGCTCCCTCGCAGCTTGCAGTCTCACTATGCGACTTGCCAGCTCGTAACTTTTTGGTCATTATACCCAGACGTATGCAAATCAGAGCACTAGTATGTTGATTTTCAATAAAAATCATAACATCAAAGTGGACCGGAAACCCTATGACAGTAGTTTTTTACTGAGGGGCAGCACTACCTACCACTTGGAAAATGAACTCTGAAATCCATTTCCAGGTGCCATATCTTTAGTGATCCGTATCTGTGCTGCTTACTGATCCTCCTATTCGAGAGTATTATCCATGTTTGCAAATATCTAAAATGACCTTTCTTTACATGTAGCTGCAGCAGTCCTCATACGTGTCTATAGCAAGCAACTCCAACTTTACCAGCACATCTGGTATCCAGACCCAGGCAAGGCTTCCGTTCAATGGGTGAGTATTTTGAAAATATGTAAAGTAAGTGGTTGGATCGGCTTAAATTAAATATATTAATATATTCCATTAAATATATATATTCCAAAATACATCCGATTTGATTTTTTTCCCCTTAAAACCATGTGTGCATGCCTCTAACGTACTTTTTATTTTGAAATAGTTCAAACAGAAAAGTTACAGAAAAAGTCAAAGAACTCCCAGATACCTGGTTACTCAGATTCACCAATTTTGCCATGCTTAGTTTATTATTCTCTCGTTCTGAATATGTCTTTCAAATGAGGATGTTAACTATTTTTAAATTGTTATGTTAGGTCCTTGCTTTTCCTGTTGTTGTTTGTTTGTTGATCTGTTATCACCTTTGTAGTGTCAGATCGGCTTAGAAGCGGTGCTTGGTCAGTCACCTGGAAACAGTCCCCGTCCCCCCGCGTCCCACTGCCACTCACCCCTTCTCCCCACTGCCGTGCACAATCGAATCCCGAGAGTTTTGAGATTTCAGCTTTTGTTTTTGCAGACGGAAGAGTACTTACGGAGTGTTCTTCAGTAGCTGTTGAAAACTTCTTTTTAAAAAAACTTATTTCGTGTCTTGGCTCTCTGCCTCTCTTTGCATGTTACAGCTTGCCTCTGAACTTAATAT